TTACACAGTCACATGCCATGATGCAAATACAGGAAGATCACAGCCCGATGGGTGCAAAGTCTTGTGGATCCAGTGGCGATGGAAGCATCTCAGCACTGCTGGGAGTCTCCACTTGGCTCCTCCAGCTGTCCAAGTGTGGCTGTTCAACAGGAAGGTTTAGAACTTTAGAACTTCATTTTAAGGTGTGGCTCTTCAGTATTGAGTGCATGCAAGATGCCACGCACTGTGATAGATACTAAAACACCGAAAACTAGCTTTGCCCTTAAATAGCTAAGTCCTCTGATAGCTCAGAAGCAAGAAAGAGAATACTATAAAATTAAATGAGCAAATGCTTATAAATTGCTATGGTATCACCCAATGTAGTTGGATGAAATGACCCAAAGTAGTTAGTTTTAAAAATGAAAAGGGAATCACTGTATGGAAGAGATTGGGAAGACTTTGAACTACAAGCAAGTTTCTGTGCTGAAAGACAGCACTCTTGTAAGTTCTCAAATAGACTGGTCTTGACAGTACTCTCCAGAATAGTAAGCATTTCGATTGTCCTCTCCTTACATCATAGTAATGCTTTCTTTTAGGTCTCTATATATGCTGTACCAGAAAAGATTGAACAAGTTCAACATGCCTTGGAAACAACTGTGAAGCTTCTTGAGTTTTATCAAAAGTACTTTGAAATCCAATACCCAATTAAGAAATTAGGTAAGAATCAGGTACTTTTTCTTGTCTTCATTATGATGAATTAGACTCATTTTGCAAAGGTTTTTTAGGAGGTGCTTTTTCCAGAATTATTTTTAAAAGAGAATCAGTAAACATTGTTAATAAGTTAAAATGTTATATAGTTCTTATTGCATTATTATATCAGAATTTTGGAGCTTAAGACACTTTGAAACTTGTGGGGCTGTTGCAAAAGTGCTGTGTAACAGGATTTGCTTAGAGTTAACCTGGAATTTACCAAATCGAACTTCCTAAGAAATTCTTAATTGAAATAATAAAAGTTGAGTAATGGGAGTTCAGTAAAGCTAGAGAACTTTAATAATTGAAGTAGAGATGATCCCTCAGTGGAAGAATGTGAACCCTGTACTCTGTCTTCTTGCCTTAGAAAGTTGATTTATTTGTAAGAATTGGGTATCTTTTCTTGGCTAAAGGACAGGGATTTAAGGAATTAATCAGATCATCCTCAGTTGATGGATGGGTAAGATTACATGAAGGGCTAGAGAGTAATGAAGGATTATAAAAATAAATGTGTGGGAGCGGGGAGGCAGGGGAAAAATGAGGACCTAATGTCGGGGGTTTAAGTGGAGAAAAAATGTTTTGAGAATGATGTACAAATGCGCTTTACACAATTGATGTGTGTATGGATTGCGATAACAGTTGTATGAGCCCCTAATAAAATGTTTTAAAAAAAATGTGTACCGATTCACAGTCATAAAGAAATGAGTACTTTTATTTAACTAGGAAAGGCCCATACACAAGGAAAGTTGATCACTTCTTTTCTGTTCTGTGCAGATTTGGTGGCTATTCCTGACTTAGAAGCAGGAGCGATGGAAAATTGGGGCTTGATCACCTTTCGAGAAGAGACCCTTTTGTATGATAATAATACTTCTTCAGTGGCAGATAGAAAACTGGTTACCAAAATCATTGCTCATGAGCTGGCCCATCAGGTACTTTCAGTCACGGCTGTTATGTCTCGTGTTGTTTCTTACTTCATATCTTAAGAGTTTTATTAGAATAGATTTATATGCTAATAATAATTCAGCTTTTTGTTATAGAATTGCTTCTTTCATAATAGAAAGACAATTTTTAAAAGCAAACGTCATTTTCAGCTGAAAATGCTGTCTAATATCTATGTATCTACTTACTGTTGATTCAGCTTACAGCAACACTACATAAGGTTTCAGAGACTGTGAATCTTTATGGAATAGTCAGGTTCCTCTTTCTCCCTTGGGGCTGATGGATTTGAACCTCTGACCTTGCAGTTGGTGGTATACTGCTTAACCCATAGCACCACCAGGGCTCCTTAGTGTTTGTCTAGAAATTTATGATTAACATTTTCTAATTTTTTTACGATCCATTTTTCACACTTGCTGTAAGGTAGGTGGAAAATTACATTTTTAAAACATGGAAAGTGAGACTCAGCGTAACTAAATGACTTGTCCAGAGCCATGAGCGATAGCACTGGGCATTCAAACACCAGCATCTCGTTAAGGCTTGGACGCCACCTCTAGCCACACAGTGAAACAGTTATTTGACCTCTGCCAAATGTCAGATGCTCAATAGCTTTGTGGGAAATAATCCTTTTCTCTAAATTGTCCCTTTTTTCCTGACAACTTTTAAACTGTAGTTCTCAGAATTAGAAGTACTATTTTTGTCCCCTGCTGTAAACTGGGTTCTTTATTATTATTGGGAGAGGGAGGTCTTTGCATGAGATGGAAGATGAAAGAAAATTGCATGTACCCTTCCCCCCAACACCCTGTCCTTTTGTGCCCTTGATGAGGTAACTGTCAGTGTTAGATATGGTTTGGAGAATGCTGTGATGGTGGGAGCTTATGAAGGAGGAGTACGAGGGCTACCCCCCAAAAAGTCCCAGTGCTCATTTGTTTTGTTTTTTTTGATGTGCAGCGGGTAGTCCATTTGGAGTTTGTTCCACCAGGTCAGACTGTTAATTAAGCTTTCTATTTAGAGGTTCTGAAAAGATTGCATAGCAATGTGCTGCAAAATAAGCCTGATATGTAGCAGGCAGGGATTGGTTTTGCCACCACAACAATGCACCTGCTCACGCAGCCATCTCAGTGCTCCAGTTTTTGGCCCAAAACTAGCATGCCTCTTGCCCCATGCACCTGACTTACCTGACCTCACTCTATATGATTTCTTTTTGTTTCTGCATATGAAGAAGGACATGAAAGGACAGTGATTTGGCAATGTAGAAGAGGTGAAGAAAAAAACAAGGGAGGTGCTGTAAGCCCTCCAAACAGATGTGTTTCCGAGAATGGAATTGCAGATTCGACAAATGAATTAAGTGTAGTGGAGAGTACTTAGAAGGCGATAAGGATGTTTTGTAAACAATTTTTAAATACATAGCTTTGGGGGAAAAAATCTGTTTTTTTGGGGGGGGGCAGGGTATCCCCTTAAATGACATGCTCTGGTCAGTTTAGAGTGTAGCTCCAATGCAATCTACAGGACTCTTTATAGCCCTTGTGAAGTTTCTATGACAGCATATCAAACACAGACGTATTCACAATTAATTAAGAGACATACAGACAAATTGTCCTTTGGGGAGTCTCCTCTAGTTCTGTGACTTTTGGGACCACCCATGACCATTTGGGAAATGTAACTTTGTTACTTCCTTGGGATTGTTAAATCAATAAGTTGTTATAATTATCAAAAGTGTGTTGTTTTGATATCTAGTAAGCTTAGCCTTCTGTTGCTGGTTGTAGAAAAGCCCTGATTAAAATTGCAGACTACTTGTTTCAAGGATTTTTAAGATACTTTTTTTTTAGGAGAATTTCCTTTTGGTTCTTTAAATCTTTGTTTCACACTACCATGTAAAGGAAGATATTTGAAAAAATTACTGATTACATTTGCTTTTATGCATGCCAACTTTCTTATGGTGTATAAATTCTCGACTCATAACTGCTATTCACAACCTGGGCAGCTGAGGAGAAACATGAAGTTTGGGATCCAGAGATCCCAAACAAAATCTCTCACATAGGGACTTATTTGTTAGTTTTCCCATATGGTTGTAGATAATACGGGAAAATAATCGTACATTTTGTTGTTCGGTGCCATCCAGTGGCCTCCAACACTTAGCCACCCCATATGCAACAGAGCAAAACACTGCCCAGTCCTCCGCCATCCACACAACTGTTCCCATGCCTGAGCCCCTGGATGCAGCCACTGTGTCACTCCATCACATCCAGCCCTTGCTCTTTTCACCACCCCTCCACTCTACCAAACTTGACGTCCTTCTCCAGGGACCGGTCTCTGCTGACAACATATCCAAAGGATATATATGCAGTCTTGCCATCCTTGCCTCTAAGGAGCACTCTAGCATTACTTCTTCCAGTATGGATTGGTTTGTCCTTTTAGCAGTCTATGGTACTTTCAACATTTTTATTTGGCACTACCAGGCAAATGCAGCTACTTTTCTTCTGTCTTCCTGAGTCAGTGTCCAACGTTCACATTAATCTGATACCACGGAGAACACCATGGCTTGGGTCAGTGTACCTCCGAAACATCCATACTCTTCAGTACTCTAAAGAGGTTTTGTGTAGCAGATGTACCTAATGCAGTATGTCTTTTTATCTCATGACTGCTGCTTCCATGAACAGTGATTGTGGATTTAAGCAAGACAGAATCCTTGACAACCTCAACCTTTTCTCATCATGATGCCACCTATTGGTCTAGTTGTGAGGATTTGGGTCTCCTTATACTGAGCTGTAATCCATAGTGAAGGCTACAATCCATGAACTTCATCAGCACATGCTTTAATTCCTCCTTATTTTCAGCAACCAAGATTATGTCAGCTGCATATCTCAGGTTGTTAATAAGTCTGCCTTCAATCCTGGTGCATTGCTCTTCTTCATATAATCCAGCTCCTCTTCTGAGTTGGTTGTCTTTGAAGGTGGAAATACAGGATCTGATCACAGATAGCATTGTGCTTCATGATGGATTTAACAAGATCCTTTATGACAGTGAAAGCACATGCATGCTAAGTTGTTAATATAGAGTAGAAGAGTTTCCTTGACTGTAACTTATTATTTTTAGATGAGGTAGTTAAAAACCATTGTTTACCTAGTATTAGTCGTGTGTTGAGTTGATAAATGTGCTAGTAATATGCCTTGCTTGTTTTCCTGTTCAATGAAAAGAAAATTCTAACACTTTTATTTTTAAAGTAAATTTATAGAATATCTATAAGCTACAAACTAAATTATTAGAGAATCCCTGCGACTGTCAATACTATGTTGGTCAGTAGTCTGTCTCTTCTTTACAGTGGTTTGGTAACCTGGTCACAATGCAGTGGTGGAATGACCTGTGGTTGAATGAAGGTTTTGCCACCTTCATGGAATATTTCTCTTTGGGAAAGATATTTAAAGAGCTCTCAAGTGTAAGTAGACTGTTTTTAAGGCCGCCTGTCAATTTTTGCCCTGTAATTGTGGTATCCATTTGAAGTAAGAAAAATGTTTTTCGAAAGGGTCAGTAAAATGGATTGTTACTGGTTGTTCTTTAACGGATGTTGCCCTTGTGCCCAAAGGAAATTTAGATAAGGTTAAAAAAAAAAAGCAAAACCATACACCTTTTTGCTCTAAGTTTGAAAAAAGAAAAATTGAAGGCACTTTGCAGCAATGCACTCCATACTATCACTGTGTACACTCTTTTTAGCATAGTATATCGATTGATTTCAATAAATCATTGGACCTTTTTTAAAGTACAGTCTATTTTGAGCTCGTTTCCAGAGATTTGTAGTACCATTTTGTTATAAATAAGCGTAATACTATTTCTCACTATGTTAATTCTTTCCTTGGAGATGTATGCTATTCTTAGAGATAATAAGACACACTCAACACGAGGCTGCCCTGTGACAGATGTGACAATAGTTCAGGCAATAGGTGGGGAAATGTTGAGATACCTTTTTTTATACTTTCAATTAAGCATATTGAAGATATGCTCCAACCTGGCTTCCAGTCTAAAAATCCTGTATTGGGCTGATTCTGAACTTTGCAGTGATAAAAAGAACTCATTTTTAGTCCAAATACTATGCAAGGTATTCTAAACTTGCTGTATGCTGTTTAGGCAGTGAGATACACAGTTTTACCACATGGTGGTGCCCAGAATGTTTAAAAACTTGTAATATATACTCTAAGCACACCCATCTGCAGAGCTCTCAAAGAATTATTTGTGTTGTTATGTTTTATTTTAAGTGAATTGCAGTTTAGGGACCAAGTATATAAGGGGGCTTCAAAAGTTCATGGAAAAACTCCATTGTCTTATCATTCAATTTCCCCATGAATATTTTTAAGCCCTCTTATTATTTTAACAGAAAAGCTGGTTTATGTAAGAAAAATCAATTTAAGAATAAATTTTATAGCAGGTTTTTAAAATACTTTTTAAATACTATAATGTTTTTTACGAGTATCTTAAGTAGATGAATTTGGCATATGGTTCTTCAATTGTAGATCCTTAATTTGTGTTTTTTTTTCAGAAATGCTGTTTTTCATGCAACCAGGTTTATAACTTTATTTTTCAATTGAAGAAATATGCACAAAGGGCAATTTTTCTACATTTTCAAAATCTTATATTAGTTATTTTTTATAATGATATTAAACATCTGTGAGTCTAATGTATGTGAATAATTACTATAACTTTGTGTTTGATCCATGATAGTCATAATACCGAACCTGTTTAATTTTTTAATTAGTATGAAGATTTCTTAGATGCTCGCTTTAAAACCATGAAGAAAGACTCTTTGAATTCATCTCATCCAATATCATCATCATCTGTCCAGTCTTCTGCGCAGATTGAAGAAATGTTTGATTCTCTTTCCTATTTTAAGGTACTACTGTGCTCTGTGCATGCATACACACACATACACAAATACCTGAAGTGGTTCTGAAATTAATGTTATATATGATTTAGATTATTTTAATGATTAGGTAGTATTTTTGGTTGTCTTTTTAACTCTAATTAAATCAGGCTTTAAGTTATTTATTTCTATTTCAGTCATGGCCTTAACTTTTTGTGAGTTTTCTTTCTCCATCTTTTAAGTTTTGTGAATTGCATTCTAGGTCATTAACAAGATCTTCTAGCTATATGGAAATATGGGCCTCCCCCAGCTCCTCCCAAAGTAGCACCTGCCTATGAAACTTTCCTAAGCCAAGGTGGCGTACAGCAAATACACAATCACCTCTCATTTTTACGTGGAAAATGTTTGAGCATTTCCAAACACAGACTATAGCCCACAGAGTTATCCCAAATGATGCATAAAGCTAAAAGAAGGCTAACATACAATATTCACAGACAGAGTTCACAGCTGTGGCAGTTTGATACTGAGATGTTGAGTGTGGTTCTCGGGGTGAAGCCCCTGATGGCTTGAGGCTTGCGTCCTCTTTAGTGGTTTACTACAGAACAGACTCTGGGTGCCAGCTGCGCTTTTCACCTTTTATTTTTTTGAAAAGGGAAAATTATATTTGGATTTCTTGTGGCTAGTGAAACCAGATACTAATGTAGGTCTTTGATAATTAAAGTAAAATTTCAAAATGTCTTGGTGGTGAGGACTTGTGAAGCAATGACAAAGATAAAATGTGCTACAGAACATTTCTGCCTGTGATGGTGACCATTTGAAATGAGTTTTAAAGAGTAAGAATTCAGGCAAATGAGGATGGGCAGGAGAGGACAGGAATGGGATGAGGAGGTCTACAAGGAAAGGTCAGGAATACGTACCAAGGTCAAAGCATGCTTGGTGAGCCAGTAGCTATTGGACTACACCAGAAGCTGCATGTCAGGCAGGGAAGAAATAAGAACGCTAAGTTGTGGCTCAGTTGCAAAAAGCCTTGAATGCCATAATTAATCTGGTTCCTTTTTTTAAAAGCAACGGGAAGCTGTAGGATACTTTTGAAGACGGGAGTGATTGTCAGAGTCAGGAAAACTCAACTGGTTTCAGTTAATGAGGTGCATTTTAAGTGTGGGGGGTGGGAGGGAGACTTAAGTTGGGGAATTTCTGCTGAAGTCTAGGAAGGAAATGGTGCAAGTTTGAAATGAGGATTCATAATAATCAAAAGAGAGTGGTGGGGTGTAGTGACAGGATGAGGAAGGTACAGGAGACAAGGATGACCTCCAGATTTCAAATCTCATTGATTGGGAGCATTAGAGTACCATTAATAAACAGGGGAATCCGCTCTGTTAACTAATTAGTGTTGTTAAATACATTTCACTTAGAACTATGCTATGATCTTAAAGCCTATACAGGACTTGTCAATTAGACATTTAAGAAAAGTATGGTGCTTTTCTTACACCAAAATTATTTTCAGGATTTGTTATTATAGAGCTCTTGTCTTCCTCAGTCTCTGCCTTCTAAGAATTCAGTGTCTTCTGGTTTTGTGGCCCTAAGGCATACTTAACCTTTGTCAGTGTGATAACTACTTATTTTAGAATTAGGAAAATATACCATATAATTGGGAGAAGTGGAGCTCTGGGTAACCTACTAATATTGTGTGCAAGAAGTAAGAAACAGTAGGGAAATGTATTTGATAATATACTCACTGTTTGGGGGGCTTTAAAATCTTCAAACATAATTCTGATGCTAGTTATTGGTTGAGAATTTACTCATTTGGAAATTTTATCCACCAGCCATTATTTTAAGTGCTGGACCTTGTCTCTTGGAGTTTTCATTTCAGGGCAGAGAGGTTAGAGATAGACATTAACCAAGGGATTGAACACATGGATATTTTGTCAGGGGAGTGAACTGATGAAAAGGCACCGTCATAAGGGAAATGCAGGTGGGGGAGCCCACCAATAAGGGGACATTGGAAGAGCCATCTGGAGGATGTAAGAAATGAGACATGTAGATTTTGGAAAGAAGAATGTTTCAGGCAGAGGAAATAACTAAGATAAAGGACTTGTGTACAGGAAAAAAAGGTAGCATAGCAGGCCTGGGCCTACTGTACTTAGCAAAACTTACTGGCAAGATTGGCATCTGGGAAATTGGACTTTGAGAGTATTTCCAACATTCGCTGATAAAGAATGGTTCAGTGTGCCTGAGCTGTACAAAAATGTATGCTGACCACCTGCCTGCTTTCTGGAAGATTGAAAATTTGGTACATACTAGGTAGAAAATGACTTTTAAAACCCCTCTCTGCCATTGAGTCAACTTACAGCAACCCTAAAGGGCAGTGGAGAATTGCCCCTGTGGGTTTCCAAGACTGTACCTTTTTTGAGAATAGAAAGGTTTGTTTTTCTCCCAAGGAGTGACTGATGGTTTCAACTGTTGACCAATGGCATAACCACTAAGCCGAGGCTGTGATGAGCTTCCCTGATAGATGGCATTTGACACATGCCACACCTCAGTACTGGGGAATTATGTACATCCTGTGTGGCAAGGACTCTTGGAAGCTTATTCTGTTTCCTCTGGACCTTGTCCCATGAACCTTCTCCTTTCACTGATTTTGCTCTCTGTTCTTTCACCACAATAAGTCAGGGGCTGGGGTGGTCTTGGGATACCTGAGTGGTACTGAGGCGATAAAGTTGGGCTGTAGAAAGTTAGGATTTATTTTATTTGTGTAAAACCCTTGCGCGTGGTTTTTGTCTGTAAGTGGAAAATTTCGTAGAGGGAGTAAATTGGTGGTAAAGGAGAAAAGGGGCCCGTTGAGAACAAGAAAGACTACTTAAATTTATAGACTAAAAATACCTATGAGGTGTGATTTTAGAAATAAGTTTATTTAGGTATTCCGTTCACTTATGTCACAACGTTATGACTTAACATTACTACATTTTTATTAGAAATGAAATCCATTCAAAAATGTCTTGAGTGTACTGCACATTGTTCAGTCATTGGAGCTATGTTTCTCAAATTATCCCTTAACTCGTGTAGTCTAAAGAGACAATGTATGCCTTATCTTTGCTGCAAATAGATCCCGGAACGTGTCGTCAGGTGCCATTGAGTCCTTTCTGGCTAAAAGTGGCCTGTGTACAGCAGCAGGAGCCACTTGCCGGGCCTGTGTCAGCCTTCCCATGCAGCCAGTCTTCCTTTTTTATGCTACCCCTTTACTCTCCCAAGCATGCTGTCCTCCTCCAGGGACAACAGATTCAAAGTACGGGAGCTGAAGTTTCACCCCCCTTGCATCAGAGGAGCATTCTAGCTGTACTGCTTCCAAGACAGATCGGTTTGTCCCTTTGGCAGTCCGTGACTCTTTAGTATTTGTAGCCAGCACCATGATTCAGATGCGCTGATTCTTCTTCTATCTTCCTTCTTCAGTGTCCAACTTTCACATGTATATGAGGTGATTAAAAATACCATGATGACTTGGGTCAGGCACACCTAAGCCCTCAAAATAACTTCCTTGCCTTTCAACACTTTACAGAGGGCTTGCGCAGCAGATTTACCAAATGCAGTGTTTCATTTGATCTCTTGACAGCTGCTTCCCTGAGCATTGATTATTGATCCAACCAAGAGAAAATCCTTGATAACTTGTCTTTCCTCCATTTATCATGATGTTACTTCTTGGTTTAGTTGTGAGGACTTTGATCTTCTTGATAGTGAGTTGCAATCCATCTGAAGGTTGCAATCTTTAATAGTCATCAGCAAGTGCTTCAAGTCCTCCTTTCAGCAAGCCAGGTTGTGTATTTCAGGTTATTAATGAGCCTTCCTTCAACCCCGATGCTGCATTCTTCTTCATAGGATCCACCTTCTCTGGTTATTTGTGAAAAAGCATACTGGGGGCTGTTAGAAAAACCTCTTAGCCATAACCAAACACCTTTAGGGAATGAGTCACTGGGCCTGGCGATTCAGGACCATAGTTTTGGAGGACACCAAGAACTGAGGGGCCAACTGGTATAATGTAGTTGACAAAGAATATTCTAAATCCTCCTTTGGTGAGTAGCCACTGGAGTCTTAGAAGCTCTTGACAAGCCCTCTAAGGTACAACTATTGGTCTCTCCCTGTCTGGAGGGAAGAAGAGTGGTGACAATTGATGGTACTTGTCAGCAATTAGTCCAGTGACCTAAAGAGCCACGCCAACATCAGGCTTCATGACCCAGAGACCAAAAGAACCTGCTGGTGTTTGGCTGCCACTACCAACTGCTCTGAAAGGGCTCTCATTAGAACATCCTGAATAGAGTGGGGGAAATAAGGTTGAACAAAACACAAGATCATAAAAGAGACCTGACTTACTGGTTGGATAGAGATTGCCGGGATGCCTGAGACCATGGCCCTTATTCACCGTAGTCAGGTCTCGAACTGAACAGCTCCAACTTCTACAACAGATAGCTGTATAAGAGGAGCGGTAGCACTAGGGAGCCATATGCTTTAGAATAATCAGCCATTGAGATTTTGAAAAAGCAACATTTACCCAAGGGCAAAGTCCTGAAGGGTTGGGAAAGGTAAAGGAAGGGACACAAGAAACACAAGGAGGAAGTGGGATAAGTGCTGATACCTTGGGATTACAATGAATGAAATTCAACAAAATGTGTTTGCATTGTTAAATGTAAAATTGGTCATCTACAGCCGTTCACCCAATTCATCATAGTAAGTTTAAAAAGAGAAAATAGAGACCTATAAAAGATGCAGGAAGTGATATAAAATGTTTTAGACGATAGTGAAGGAGTATTCATTTTGAGTCTGGAAAGGCTTCCCAGAGGAGGTAGAGGTAGTTTCAAGGTTGGGAATGAAGATGTATGTGGGTGAATAGTATATGTAGACTTAATAATTACATACATGACTGATTCTGCAATATGGGGTATGTTTGCTGTCCTATATGTATCTGAAGTGACTGGAAGAAGGGCAAAGATTGATTACTTCAACAATGTGATCTACTACAATTAGATTTTAATATACTAGCTGGCAAGGAGACTTTTGAGAACTCTATTAAATTTATTGTGACACCAATAGTGTGCCAGTGAATTCAACTGCTAACTTTAAGCATTGGAGGTAGGAGTAGAGATGCCACAGAAAATTTGGCATGTTTTCTTGTTAAGAATGAAGAAAGTTTTCTAAAGGCTGATTGTACAAATCTTCTTGATTTGATTGAACTATTGAATATATGATATGTGAATTATATGCCAGTAAAACTGCTGAGAAAAGTAACATGTAAACAGTGAGTACACTGATATACTATATAAACGGCTGATATTTGTAGTGTGCATGAGAATCTACTCTATTACTTCTTTTCCAGACCCCTTAAGGTAAATTTTTTAAGTCATTTGAACACATAATCCGTATCTGTTTATAAGAGACTACATAAAAGTAAATTATAACAAAGGCCTGTGCATGAAAATAAAAGGTTTTAGAATATTTTAAATAATGGATTCTTAACTCTATTACCTATGTTATTCTGTTATTTTTCTTCCATTTTATTTATGTATTTCTGTGTTGAACAGGGAGCTTCCCTCTTGTTGATGCTGAAAACTTTTCTCGGAGAAGACGTGTTTCAACATGTTGTCATTCTTTACCTACATAATCACAGCTTTGCATCCATTCAAAGTGATGACCTGTGGGATAGTTTTAATGAGGTAGGAAGCTTGGGTGTTTCACTTAACTCTTAAAGTAGAAGATAGTTTTATTTCTGTGTTTCTAAGTCTTTGGAACTAAGGATGGTAATTTGGGAGAAGAGGGGATGGAGCTTAGCATAGAGATATTTACAAATTACGCTTCTAAAGGAAAGTCAAGAGATGGGAGTACTGTTCATAATTGTTGAAAAAATGTAGGCTTGTTCGCAGTCTCGGAAGGCCACTAGGGGCAGTTGTACCCTGTCCTAGAGGGTCGCCCTGAGTCAGCATCCACTCCGTGGCAGAGTTTGAGGATGGCTCTTTTTATTCCCGATCTTAATCTCCATTCCTACTTTATTAAGAAAGTTGTTTTTAATGTAACTGATGTAAATAACTATAATTTTTTGTTTGATTTTTTAAAAAAATCTTTTTCCTAGTTTTACCTTTTCCCTGTATTTTATTTCCCACTCGTGATTTTTCTGTGCTCTATCATTTGACTCTCTTTTGTGGCCCTGTTTCTTTAAGTTAAATGATGTATCACAAGCTGGTTACTCAAAGGCCACCTACTGCCCTGGCAGGATTGGTTGTGTGCATTTTGGTGTGCAGCTAAAATGTTCTGGCCCGGGGCAGTAAAACGCAGTGTGATTGGGTAGAGGTTCTGCTTCTGAGCAGTACATGAGTGTAGTCTGCCTCAAACGTGTGCTAACGGCACAGTCGTCACGAGTATTTGAGTGTGTTACTCGGATCCAGATTCATGGTGGTTAATGTTTTGGAAACTCACAGACAGATCCGAAAGTGGATTGACACTTCTGGACATTTCCCAAAGAAAACAGTCGAGAGGACCCTGAGTTAAGAACCCCAGCTCTGGGTTCTTTTTCATATTTTCCCTATTCCTTGCCTTCTGTGAAATCCAATATTTTAATAACTATTAACCCTTTGCTCAGAAGACAGCTCTTCTGTGGTTTTTAGTTCTTTTGGAGATGGGCTAGTTTTTATTATAGGAGAGATCCTAGAATCTGATCAGTTTTATCCAACTTTTTAAGAGAGACTTTGTGAAATTGCTTCTTAATCATTGATACCAGATGCCCTCAAGGCAGAGGGTTTTGGATCTGTGAGCCTGTCCTACAAGGTGCCATATTTTATTCATGTATTTTGTGGGAAAGGGAATCTAATAATAGCAAAAAATTAACACAGTTATAGAGAATCTTAAAATCAAGGCAACTAACTTGCTACTGTGATGCTTCTCTCTAGCACGTCTACACTATTGGTTCTGTAAACAATGAACTCTAACATTTATGAAGGCTGAGGACTCAGGGAACAAAGAAACCTGCATCAAGAGTGAATAAAAGTGCTTCTAATTCCAGACCTCATATAAATTATTCCCGATTCCTAACGGCTATTACTGTAACCTAGAACACTTACACCTTCTTAGGGATTTCTGTTCCGTTCACTTGGTCGGTAGCCTTATTGCTGCTCTTCTTACACCCCCTTTTGTGATCAGCTCTGTTACAGATTTCTTCCATCAGAGTTGCTTGTTTGCCTGGATTTAAGACACAGACTCAACTCGGGCGTCTCATGCCCTAAATGAAATGTCATCTTCATACGCTGTGCTAGGGAAAGAGGGCAGAGTAGAGAAGCGTTGACCCGCAAAGTTTCTAAACCGGTACTTTTCACTAAGCAGACTAATTCGTTTTTCCTGGCAGGTCACAAACCCAGCTTTAGATGTGAAGAAAATGATGAAAACCTGGACCCTGCAGAAAGGAGTTCCTTTAGTGACTGTTCAGAGAACAAAAACGGGAGTTCTTGTACAGCAGGAGAGCTTTTTTCCAAACATGAACCCTGAAATGCAGCCTTCAGGTGCAAGGTACATGTCCTTTCCCTCCATTCTGTCTCGTTTGTCCCCAGGTTGAAATACTTTTAAATGTTTTATAACTGCAGTGTCTCATGAAATCTAGTAAGATTACTCTTATCTGGTAATCGCGTTAAAATTTTCAACACCTTCCCTGCCCTAAAAAAGACAGTAAATCACTTTGTGTAACTGACTTAAAATTGGAAAGCCTACTAATCATGTTATTTCCTTTTCACAGCTACCTGTGGCACATTCCACTATCTTATATCATTGAAAGAAAAAATGACTCTCAATCTCAATCAGTAATGTTACTGGATAAAAAATCAGGTAATGACCATACCACTTTTCTGATGAGGAATTAGTGCATTAAAAAAGGAAAATTACTGACTTCAGGACGAAAAATATATTACACATGCCAGTATGCATACTTCCTGAACTGGTGAATACTCAAGTCTCTGTATACTTCCCTCCCCTTAGTGAACTGAAATAAGATATAAAAAGATACAGAAAATGTCCTGACAGTCCTGGTAGAAAATAGCAAATATTATGTTCTTGTATCTTAGTTAGGTGTTTTATGGTATAGAATAAGAAGTACTAGAAGTAGAATAGTTTCTTAAAGTGCTAACTAACAGGTGGGTGTGACAACT